CCATGATTTCTGAATAAAAATCAGAGATATTTTAGCTAATGCTAAAATTTGGTTTCCTTTCTCAAAAACCAAACCACTTTGGACATAATCAAATTATAACCAAAGACTTTTTCCAAACATGGTTTTCCAACACTTTGGGAATAAAATGATTAAACCAAAGACTTCCTCAAACTCCAAAAGTTTGAAACTAAATCCGTCTTAGTTGTCATTTCTGAACAAATAAAAACTACTCTTTAGCCAAGGCTAAACACTTTGGTATCTATTCCAGAAAACCAAACCAAGTTCCAAACTTATATGCAATTTAAAAATTGCTACAATCAAATACATGCATATAAAATGCTTCTAATAATATAAGCAAATAAAACTTGCTGCTTCAAATTGGTAAACAAACCAACTAAATCTCTGAAGCCCTCTTGGCTGTTGCTCTCTAGCAAACTCAAACCTTAAGACACTTTAGCTGAAGCCCTCTGGCAAACTGTAGCCCTCCGTCTAATGCATTCTTTGCAAACTTCAAATGTTCTCATGCTCTCTAGTAGAAAATGAAGCCCTCTTGCTAAAATGAAGCCTACTGGCTTCGCTCAACTCATGCCCTCTGGCAAAAAATTTCTTCAAATATAAAGGACAAATAAACCAATCCAATTGAGGATTATAAGTAGTCCATACAATTCCTTTCTACGCTAAGGTATGCCTACAAAGAGAGTTAGTAGCAAACGACAACATAATATAAAGCAACTAATCTAAAACAATTGTACATACAATCAGATATTATTTAACCTTCTAGCAAATCATAGAATAGCAAAATAACTAAGGAATTAAGATACTATACAAGTTACAAAACCTTATAACTTCTACATAAATTACAAAACTTTAATTCATCTAATTAAATCGCACACTATTCATGGAAATAAATACACAAGTTAAAACCTTAAAATTTATGATCTCAAATACTAAAATTAAATTTATTGCCATAAGTTATAAAAGAATTATTAAATAATTGTTAGAAACCAATAACCATTTAGCAATTAACATGAAAAAAATCCTAAAGATTAAATCATGCAAATCATGGTAGTGGAATGATGAACCATACGCATAAAATAAGATCAGATTAATACAATTAAGTGTACAAATTATGATAGAGCATTCTAATTAAACTAAGCAATTAGAGAATCACATTGCATAATTTACAATCATTGAAATAGGGAGCAATTCCGCAACAGTTCCTAGTAACATTATACAATTCTCTATATAAATCTATTCGATCAATTTCATAGAAAATATATATAAATTTGTTTTAAGCTTGTTTTTCAATATTGTGAAATTAAATAAATAGATTTATGAAGAAATCATATTATATATCAAGAACATATGCTGATAATTATAATTAAATTTCAACAGAAATACACAAAACAATAAAAGGGTAAAGAGACGAAACCAAAGCCAGCATGGAAGTAGTTTCCTTAAAACAGATTTCGCCGCCTCACAGGTCGAGTGCTTGAGGAAACCCGGCGTCTGTCTCCCAGGATACGACGGTCAAAACCAGCTACGGAAGAAGCACTTTCTGTCTAGCTTAGCGAACAAGAACAGTGGCAGCACTCTCTCAATATAGGAACTTTCTGGCAAACTGACTTGTAAAATGGATGCAAAAAATTTCTGTGTTTGAGACTTGACAGGAGGGTCTCAATTTATACATGTATAGGGGAGAGAGGAGAAGCCTCCAGCCTTTATGGCTGGTCACTAATGCGTCATTAACCTCTGTAATAAAGGCAGGAGTTACAAACCCCATTAATGCACTATTAAACTCCAAGGAGTTACAAACCCCATTAATGTACTATTAAACTCAGCAATAAAGGCAGAAGTTACAAACTCCATTACCTCTTTCATGAAGCTAACTTCATGAGACAATTTCTCATTCAAATCTCAATGATTTTTGGCCATTCTATTTGTGGTATAAAGATCTCATTGCAAAGTATCTAGACCCACTTAGACCCAACTCAATAGATGGTTGGGACCCACTTTAATATTTAATTAAAGTCACCAAAAAATCATTTTTTTTCCAACAATTTCTTTGCTGGGAGTTGTCCCTGTTTACATCTGGAGCAAGGTGATTCAATGAGATGGAAGGCAGATCAAACTGGGGTGTTCAAGGTAAGCACTGCTTATAAATGGTGTGAGTTGGTGAATGGTACATCATCGAGTTCTACGGGTCTAATATGGAATACTTTCCCTCCACCTAAATCCAAGTTCATTACCTGGTTAGCATGGAAAGGAAGATTAAAGACTGCAAAGTTTCTGAGTAGAATTGGAATGTTGAGGGTAATGCTGATTCATCTTGTGTATTCTGCAAAAAGGAAGTGGAGTCTCGGAATCATATTCTTCTTTTATGTCCCTTTGTCTGGGAAGTCTGGTCAAGTATTATGCGTTGGTGGGGGGTGCCATGGGTGGTTCTAGGGTCGATGGAAAGGGTTGTTACAATGGTGGGTGGGCTGGAAATTTAGGGAAATAAAGGTCAAGTTTGAAGAGTACTTCCGGCTACTGCGATTTGGTCAATTTGGAAATGCAAGAATGATTGCTTATTCTCTGGTATCCAACCTAACCTGGTGGAATTAAGTGATCTCATTAAAGTAAGAGTAGCTCTGTGGTGGAAATCCTTTGATCTAGTTTGCACATTTTCTGTCACAAATATTGCTTTTAATATGCAGCAGATCAGGAGATGTATTAATTGAATGGTTCTGGTGCATAAAGAAGAGATGATGAGATGCTGCGTAGTGAACTTTTGGGGTGAAATATTGGAGGTGTTAAGCTGAGGATGGATACTGGTTTGACAGTGCTTGAGGCGGAGGGTGAATTTCTGGTTTTTTCTGGTGTTTCTGCTCTGCTGCTGGGATTTCTGCTCTATATCTTTGCACTGTTGCTGGTATGCTTTTGGATGCTGGATGTCTTGTTTAATTCTTTGGATCAAGAGATGCTATTCTTGTTTGTTGTGCCATGCTGCTTAACCATTAGTTGCTGAGGCTCCTAATGGTTGTTGTGCTATGCTATTTTGTCATGCTTGTTGTGTGCTTGTGTGTTTGTGTCTTGGATTTGGGTAACAAATGTTGGACAATCTTCACTGTATTTAAAAAGATTAAATTCTGTTGTCTACAAAACAACAACAAGAATAAAAGAAATAGAGAAAAGGAGAGAATATGTTTGATTACAAAAATCAAACTCAAAATAAAAATAAATAAATAAAACCACAGATTTTATTTTGTTACAAAAACAAAATTAAAATCTGATTAAATAAACAAATAAAAACAGAATTAAATTAAACAACTTACTTGGTTAATTTATATGAATAATTTTTCTGATCAAGTCCAGTGTTTAACACTGTGTCCTTAAGACAGATTCGTCCTCTCCACGGTGCTTTCAGAATTTGGACGTCTATCTCCCAGGATGAAATGATCTACCACAAACAATAGCAGCACTACAAATTGTTTGCCTTACGAACACACTAAGTGTTTACACTCTTTCTTTCGGAAATAAAATGCAGCAAGATGAAGAATATAATTTGCAGAGGATGGAGTACGAAAAATCTGAGTATAATCCAAATGGGAGGCTAGTCTATTTATAGATGTTAAGGTGGCTTTTCGTTTTGAATTGAACAGGTATGAAACCTGTTAGATTCAAATTTAAACAGATTTGAATCTGTTTATTCAAACAGATAGAAACGGGAAGGGCCCTGTTTGGATGAACAATAAATCCAAAACTGTTTAATTCTGTTTGAAACCGGGAAGGGCTCTGTTTGGATGAGCACTAAATCCAAAACAGTTTAATTCTGTTTGAAAACGGGAAAGGCCCTGTTTGGATAAACAATAAATCCAAACCAGTTTATTGAATTCTGAATTTTATTTTAATAAAAAATAAAATAAAATTCAAATGTTTTTGGCCCAAAAAGATTAGAAGCCCAACCACACACCACGCACCCGCGCCCAGGCCTAGGCCCAGCCAGCCCGGACGGCGGCGCGCGCGTGTAGTGATTTTTGGGTCCAATGGGTCTAGCCCATAACCTCTCCCTCTAAAACACTTGGGTACCCCTTGGGGCACACCCCAAGTATATCACCTTAAGCCTTATAAACCCTTTCAAAACTTCCCACCAAATCAATGTGGGATAAGCCAATTTACAACCTTAAGGAATTTCCACCAAAACTCCATTTCCATGGAGCACACTTTGGCTTCAATTTCCCATTCACTCGGTAATGGTTTTGAGCAACCAAATATACCACGTGAATCACAACGCGGCATAGAACACGTTACCACTTTGACCCGAGTTAATCGACACTCGGGGCCCACCTAAAAAATAGACCAAACTTAAGAAAAAATTCTGATTTTACCCAAAATTTTTCCATCATTTCCAACATTTTTAACTTTCAAGATTAAGACATCAATATAAAAAATAAAAAAACACACTTTCAAGATCAAGATAAGGCTTCATTTGACTGTGACTAAAAGGAAAATTTATTGATAAAAAAAATTACTTTTGTTTAAAAAAGAGAGTTCATTTTGCACCCCAAAAATAAATTAAAAAAAATCACTTAAACTACTTTAAAAAAATCAGTATTTTTTTTAAAAAAAATAAAGTAGGAATATACTAAACAAACTAAATCTTTTAGTGTTAGTTTTTGATAATATTATTTTAGTCAATAAAATTAAAAAAAAAATTAGAAATATAACTAATAAAATAAATTTTTAATATTTCTTATAGGTTTATTTTAACTAATAAACTGGTAGATGAGCTGATATATTACTATGCGTAATATATGAGTTCTTATTGTTAGTATAGTTTCCATCTGTTGTAAATAATTTTTTTTTAAAAAAAAACAGTCAAGATCATTTCTAAATTATTAAAATCAAATAAGCAAAATTTATACAATATTGTCTGGTTATATTTTATAAAAATAAAACAAAAAATTAAAATTGACACAACATCACTGGATATTTGTAGTTACACCCAAAAGACCGTTTATTTCTCATCACACATTGCTCAGACAAACCCATCAACCAACCAGCCAACTCTCTCTCTCTCTTTCTCTCTCACTGATCAGTGGCGAAAGGCCATGGCAATGGCCCTCAGAGCCACAGCCACAACTAGACCTTCTCTCCCTTCTCCTCCTTCCTCCCCATTTCCACCCCCAAGAACTCTTTCTCTCTCCAAAAATTCATCCAAATCTCAATTCAGACACTCCTCTGCTTCACTCCCAATCTCCACCACTCTCTCCTTGTTTGCCCTCTTTTCAACCCCACATGAAGCCAAAGCTCTCAGCCTCTCCAACGATCAGATTGTCTCTTCTCTCACCCAAGTAAGTCCCATAAACTTACACAACTCTGTCTCTTAAAGCTGATTTTTTTGTTTTTTTTTTTTAGTTTTAATTGATACCCATTTGTTTGAATTGCTTGTTTGTGCTTGAATTTTAGGTGGAGAAGACAATTGATCAAGTTCAGGAAGTGGGTTCAAGTTTTTTCGATGTGGCACAGCGTGTTTTTCGGGGTGTGGCTGAAACTGTGAAACCTGGGATTGATGTGGCATTGCCCATCTTGAAACAAGCTGGAGATGAGGTGGTGAAGATCGCTTCGCCAGCAGTTTCTGAGGCTTCAAAGAAAGCCCAAGAAGCAATTCAGAGCTCGGGTTTCGACACACAACCTGTTTTAAGTGCTGCTAAGGTTTGCCTCTCTTTGTTTTTCAAATTAACTTGTTCTGAATTTGATAGTGTAATTAGCTATTGATACATTAAGGCAATCACCAACATGCACACCATGTGTTTGAATTTGAGCTCGTTCCGTTGTGGTAAAAGGCTACTTACAGGAGCTTTCTTTTGTGTGGAAATTGGAATTTTGGTTTCTTGATAGGATACCGGTGCAATTTGGTTTGAGCGTGGTGAAATTTCACCAAATGGTTTGCATAAGTTTGAATACAAATGGGCATATTGGTAGTAACTAGCCATGTTGATGGTGATATCTGTTGGAATTTAAAGTTTCAAAACTTCAATCAATGAGTGCTTTAAAAAAGAGTAATGCTTTTTGAAACTAAGGGATGTATCCAAATGAAAAGACACTACAATGTCTATACAACACATTGGGATTCTTTAGTTTTCTACGCCTCAAGTTCATATGTCGTATTTTTCCTTCCTCTCCCTCAATCTTATATAGACATTGGGGTTCTTTACTTTTCTACACCTCAAGCTCATAAATCGTATTTTTCCTTCCTTTCCCTCGACCTTTATTTTTCTCTCTTATTTTCATATATATAAAGTATGGGCCACTTAGATCATAGAAGGTTTATTTTAAAGTGGAATGAACAAATTTAAGGGCCATTGTCAATGCAATGACAGAAGTGCATGAGAATGCGTGTCTTCATATTTGGGCTGCCACTTTGTCTACTAATACCAGCCTCCTTGTCTCAATTTTTTAGGGTTGTTTGTTTAGATACCCAAAATAGTTTGTAACCCTAGCATTTAAGCTCATAATTTAATGTAAATTTTATCTTTGAGCTAAATTGTCTATTATCTAAAAGTTACAAATGCCCTTGACTGCAGACAGTTGTGGATGCTGCACAACAGACCACCAAGGTGATTGAAGTCGCCAAGCCTATAGCTTCATCAACAGTTGAGACCATCTCTTCAGCAGATCCTGTTTCAATAATAGCAGCTGGTGGAGTATTAGTCCTTGTGTACCTCCTTTTTCCTCCCATCTGGTCTGCCATTTCTTTCAGCCTTCGTGGGTACAAAGGTACATTGGCTTCTCCCTCTTTGAAAAAACAAGAAAAATTTCACTAATCCTGAATTGCTTCATTTGAGTAAATGAGGAGGAAAGAGAGAAATTGCAAGAAAATTTCACAATATGGTAGTAAAATGAGTGAATGATTAGTAGTCTTTGATTGGTGCACTGATACGCTAGGCATAATAATGGGAGTTCAAGTTTAAGAGCAGTCACTTCTTGCGAATATGAGCAGAGGTTGGTTTTGTTCCGTCTACCCTTCCCTGCACCACCTATTGTTGGGAAGAACACAGGGTAATGGCCTTTTATTGGATCATGGAGTTTAAACAAACATGGCCATAGTTCCAATGGTGATTATTCTTGATCTGGGAATCTGAAGTGCATCCGAAAATTATAGTGAATGGTTTGGAACAATAACATCTGAAATTGCTACTATGTTATATTAAATTTTCCTTTCCATTTTACTTCTTAAAAATTTCGAATAATTTGTGCTGATGCATTTAAATCTGTTGCTTAAGATTGTACCCATTGCAATACGTTTCTAACTTCTTCCAAGTGCTGCCATAACTTTTGTTAGGAATTTAATGATATCAAGGCAGTGTAGTTTTCCAATTATTTATCTTTGTACCTTTTTTTTTGGTAATTCCCTTTATTTTATTCTATTTATCTTTGTATTTTTCTGGTTTTATAATTTCTTTTGAGTAAATATAATGTTACTGATTTAATGCGGTATTGTTAATGTCTAGGTGAGCTCACTCCTGCTCAAAGCCTTGATCTCATATCCAGAAGTAATCATCTAATGGTTGATATTAGATCAGAGAAGGACAAGAACAAGGCTGGTATTCCACGCCTTCCATCTAGTGCTAAAAATAGAATGATTGCAATCCCGTAAGTAGTTTTGCTCTCTCTCTCTCTCTCTCTCTCCTAAAATAAACTCATTTATATATATGTATTTCACTTCTTATCTTGTCTATACCAAGTTTTTAGAAAGCATAATACAGAAGACATCATTTTCTTTCCTTTTCCTTTTGATAAGAGGAAACAAAATTGTTTCTATTGAAGTAAAAAAGACCTGAGTTGGGTCATGAACTCCTCATCGCCTACACTATGGTCTCTTTGAGTGGTTACATTTGGAATTGCAAAATAGTAAATTTTGGGCTTCCATTCTTTTTCAAAAACCTTTTCGTTCTGAGTCCTAACCTTGAAAAAAATAATATTACATTAACACATTTGGAAAAAAAGAAAGAAAAAACGAAAGATTGTCTATGATTAAAATAAATAAATAAAAATGAAAGAAAGAAAAAATAAAATGACTCGTCAATGGGCAAGGTAGGAAGAAAGCAACTTGAGGAGCACATCAATAGTGTCCAATATTGGACGCAGATGGTGAACTCTTTTTCACTTTTTTTATTGTCAATTTTCTTGTATTTCATTATCTCCATACCCTCTACTCTGCCACTGTCACCATCCATATTGCCTCTAATGTTTCAGTTTGGAAGAATTACCAAACAAGCTGAAAGGCCTTGTCCGAGATGCAAAGAAAGTAGAAGCTGAAATAGTGGCTTTGAAGATTTCATATTTAAAGAAAATAAACAAAGGCACCAACACCGTGATCATGGACACGTGAGTTCTTTCCTCATTCCCATCTCATTGTGAATTACACGGATATCTTCTAGTACCACATAGTTTCAGTTTGGATTAAATTTACTCCTCTCCTCGAGCTGAAATTGTTTCGAAAATTCAGGTACTCGGATTCAGCCAAAATTGTTGCAAGAACACTCACAAGTCTTGGATTTAAGAACTGTTGGGTTGTGGTTGATGGGTTTTCTGGAAGAAGAGGGTGGTTACAGAGTCGGTTAGGAACAGATTCATACAATGTATCGTTTGCCGAGGTTTTATCGCCATCTAGGGTCATCCCAGCTGCAGTCCAACGTTTTGGTACGACTAGCTCTGCAAAGCTTCTCCCCGGGGGCTCTGATTAATTAGTTGGCTTGTTTTGATTATGATAGTGTTGTAACTGTTCATCCTTGGTTCAGTTAAGAGTCCTTTTACTCCTGTTCTCTGTAATTCTTTGACCAACGTGTGCAATTTAATTGATCATCCATTGCATCTTTGCCATCAGACTTGAAATGATTCTCTATTCTCTTTGCGTTTTGGGCATGACTGGGGCAACTAGTTCTGTGTTTCAACCAAATATCAGTAATTAAATGAAATGCTGCAGAAATTAACGCTAGGTCAAAAACCAAAATGTGTAAGTTTTATGGGCTAAATCATAAAATAAAAAAAAAATTAAAAAAAAATGTCTCTTTTTTCAACATCTCTGTGCCCTTTAGTTTAGCACAACCCAAACACACTGCAAATTAGCAGTGTTAGTGTTAGTAGTGACTTGCTACCAAACGCCTATTTACATAGGAAGGCGAAGTGCACATGTAAATGTGATCTTTGGAACTGAGCTTGTGCTTAAGTCATGTATTCATATCCTAACCCAAGATGGTGTAATGAACATAAGCATAGTTACATTAGCAGAACCAAGTCAAGACGTGCTAGGGGCGCGGTGGAAACATATGCCAACTATTGATTCAAATCTCATATGAGATCGTATGTTTTTTCTCCAATATGAAATACGTTCTCGCAAAGATAGGAAGTGGGTGTTGTTCGAAGAACAACAATAACTCATTATGTGGGTTGTTGCCGTTGGTGACCGGACGGCGTATTAAAAAAATACATTTTTTATTTTTTTACGAAAAGATGTGCAGAAAAGTAGAGAGATGATATGATGAAAAAAATATAAAAAGATAAAAAGATAGATTATATAGTATACCCCAAACTAGCCCTAAATTAACAAAAATATATATCGTGTTGCAATAATAAGGTTGCTTGTGGCAACCGGTCGTATAGTACTACAGTCAATTATTGGAATGTATGCTCCCAAAGTCAATTAAAGTTATTTATTAATGAAAAAATTGTTTCTTTCTTTGCTTTTTGAGATTGTTTATTCATGGATATAAACATGTTCATTTATGAAAACAAAACCGGTTGGTAGCTCGAAATATCAGAGGGTCGAATGGCTCGAAATCCCAAAACGACGTCGTTTTAGGCTTTTTTTATATTCTCTTACCGGTAAGAGAATATAAAAAAAGCCTAAAACGACGTCGTTTTGGGATTTCGAGCCATTCGACCCTCTGATATTTCGAGCTACCAACCGGTTTTGTTTTCATAAATGAACATGTTTATATCCATGAATAAACAATCTCAAAAAGCAAAGAAAGAAACAATTTTTTCATTAATAAATAACTTTAATTGACTTTGGGAGCATACATTCCAATAATTGACTGTAGTACTATACGACCGGTTGCCACAAGCAACCTTATTATTGCAACACGATATATATTTTTGTTAATTTAGGGCTAGTTTGGGGTATACTATATAATCTATCTTTTTATCTTTTTATATTTTTTTCATCATATCATCTCTCTACTTTTCTGCACATCTTTTCGTAAAAAAATAAAAAATGTATTTTTTTAATACGCCGTCCGGTCACCAACGGCAACAACCCACATAATGAGTTATTGTTGTTCTTCGAACAACACCCACTTCCTATCTTTGCGAGAACGTATTTCATATTGGAGAAAAAACATACGATCTCATATGAGATTTGAATCAATAGTTGGCATATGTTTCCACCGCGCCCCTAGCACGTCTTGACTTGGTTCTGCTAATGTAACTATGCTTATGTTCATTACACCATCTTGGGTTAGGATATGAATACATGACTTAAGCACAAGCTCAGTTCCAAAGATCACATTTACATGTGCACTTCGCCTTCCTATGTAAATAGGCGTTTGGTAGCAAGTCACTACTAACACTAACACTGCTAATTTGCAGTGTGTTTGGGTTGTGCTAAACTAAAGGGCACAGAGATGTTGAAAAAAGAGACATTTTTAAAAAAAAAAAATTTTTTTTTTTTTTTTTTTTTTTTGATAACCGAGTGTTCAAATTAGCTTGTGTGTATCTCAAATAATCACAAGGGTATAAATTAACGATCGGGCTATGAATTTATATCTGTAGTCATGTTTTTCATGAAGTTTTGGGTTTTTTTTTGGGGGGGGGGTTGGGGGGTTTGAAATTAGTAATGTTAATGGTGATTAAATTTAAATATTAAATATTGAATATTATTGGATTTAGCATTAATGTATTAGTTTAAAAGGTTTTTTTATCTTTGTGACAAAACATATTGTAATATCAACTATTAGTAACACATTCATTTCATGTCCAATTTAATATTTAAATTTAACTAATGTAATATTATTTCTTAAAAAATGTGAATTCGATTGACTAACAATAAAAAAAAAAATCTAGCTCGCGTCTGTCCTTGGATTTGTGAAAACTTCTCTATCAAGTTATTAGGAAATGTCAACTTGTTCTATTAACAATAGAAAATCTGGCTTGCTTCTCTCATTGGATTTGTGAATAATTTTTCACTCCTGATATTATGTCTTTTAATATTTTATCAATTTGTATATATTATTATTTTAAGTGAATATTAGACTTGGTATCCAAACTTTTAAATACAGGTATGAGAATAATTATATTAAATTAAAAAATTATAGCCTAACAATGCATATCTACCAAGCCTAACGAACACCACAAAAAAAGTAAAAAAGAAAAAAAAGGGGCACATATGGGTAGAGGTGACATATTTTGATCATCCCTATTACATGTTTGTAGTTGAGAATTTTTATTACATATCTAACAATTATGAATAAGAATGTAAATTTATAATTATTTTAAATTAAAAAAAGATCATTTTATTTACCGTTCCAAAACAAACCTTAGACATTTTAAATAAGAATGTACATCATTGGTCAACTAAACTAATTCAAATATAACTAGTCAAGAGAAAAAGTAAAATGATTATTAGTTCTTGAAGAAGAATAATTCTACACATACTAAGTAGGTGTTTGGGGTAAACTAAAAAAATGCACTTTTTTTTTTACCTACATACACTTATTTGGGTCACATCCATCAATATCTATCAACATCTCATCTCTACTTTTCTAACCACTTTCTCTACTTTTCTACATATTTTTTTTGTTATAAAAAAGTCAAAAAGTATACTTATTTAGGTGTCATTTGACATTGCCTAATATAGCCTGTGACTTTTTTAGCCACAAGCCTCGTTTAGTTTTTGTTTTGTGACTTTTTTGACTTTTGTGAGAGAAAAAGTATAATGATTATGTGTATATTTTGTCATATTAGCTTATATAGCTTATTTTATTTTTTTGTGCTTTTTTAGTCCCAAATCGTTAGCCAAACGAGCACTTAGAACATTCCAAACCACTCTTAAGTGTTCGTTTGGGATGCCCCATTCGGGCTATAAGACAAAATATAGGTTATTTTAGTCAAATATGACAAAATATCATATCCAACCCATAGTCATTTTATTTTTTCTCTCACGAAAGTCAAAAAAATCAAAAATTTTATCCCAAATGAGGCTTTTTAGCTCCAGTCTAAAATAGCCAAAAAGTCAAAAAATTAACCCACATCCCAAATGAACCCTAACAATCTTACTAAAAATACAAGAACGTAAGGGGGTGTTTGGCAAAGGCTTTTTTTGGCTTTTTAGGCTAAAATCCATAAAATGACAAAATACACTAAAATAATCAATAAAACAAAATGTCACATCAAACAAATAATCATTTTACTTTTTCTCTCACAAATATCACATCCAATTACAAAAAAATTTAACTATCTTTCCAAATAAAAATTAAAATAGCCTACTAAAATAACAACTTTTCAAGCAACCACTAAATGTGATTGGTTATGAAAAAAAATTATATTTAACTATCAACGTTGTTGGGATATGTATATTTTTAATAAGATAATTAATAAGAATGTAAGTAGATATAGTATTGGTCAGCATGGATGAAAAATTAGATAAAAAGATCTATTTAACTAACTTGTTAGAGATGTCATAGCTTTTTTGCTTTTTTAGATGCCCTAACTTAACTAATATATATTTGTAAATTCAAAACCCAAAATCATTTTCTTAAGGCCACGTGATAAAATGTTGTGGAGGGGATTGAGGTTTGCTAATTCTGTAGGATTCACGTGGAACTCGCAATTTTTTTTTTTTTTTACTTTATTTTATTTTACTTTTCATATAACACGTTTGATTTGAAAAATGTCACCGTGGGTATTGCTAACCTCCGATGATATTGGTAATCTCATGATCATGTGATTATTAGTTAAATTATTTTATCAATAAAATAATCATTTCTTGTCCTTCCATTTCATATTTTCTCTGGGCTAAATTACACTTTCCTTAAAATTTTAAAAAATACAATAAATTATACAATTTTGATATAATTATAAGAAAATGTTTGAGGGTCACAATTTTTGTGACCACAATGGCTCAAAACTGTCAAAACGACATCGTTTTGGGTGCAAAACATGCCAAAACGACGTCGTTTTCACAGTTTTGAGCCATTGTGGCCACAAAAATTGTGGCCCTCTAGCATTGTTGATAATTATATAGAATTTTTTTTAGATTTTAATTCATATAACATTTAGTTCATTTTTCATCAATAATTTATTAGTTATATAGATTTAAAAAAATGATATTATGGTCTATTTACATAAAAATGTATATTTTTCGTTATTTATCTTTGTATTTTCGCACTATCTGCGCTACTTTTAGTCTATTTAATTTTATTAAAAAGAATGTTACTCCCTCTGTTCCAAAATAATGGTCCCTTTTGAAAAATTTAACTTTTTTTGGTAGTACAATTATTGCACTTTAAAAAAATTGATTTTTCAAAATTATCCTTTTGATAGTACACTTTTTGGGAATATCAATGTCATAATTGTACTTTTTATATTGTTTATTAATTCAAAAGAAGGGCAAAATAGAAAATTTATATTATTTTTGTACTTGATTTTTGAAGAGGGACTAATATTTTGGGATAATAAAAAATAGAACAAGGGACTAATATTTTGAGACGGATGGAGTAGTATAATTATATTAAAACTGTAGAACTTACTGAATTTTTTTTTAACCTCAAGAGATGTCAGCGTAATTTACCATTTTCTCTTATATATAACCTAATCTCCTATATGGCCCTGTTTGG